AGAGTGATTTAACATGTTTTGGATCAAGGAAGGTAGGAAATTGAGTTGTTGAATCGGGCCTATCTTGGCTTGCCATAGATTCGGTCTCATGGCTCTTGTGAGGATACTTGAGGTTCTTATGGACTTTGAGTGTGGTAAATGAATGTTGGACTCCCTCCAGCCAATGCCTCCATTCCTCCAGGGCCAGTTTAATGGCTAGAAGCTCTCTGTTCCTGATGTTGTAATTTTTCTCTACCAGGGTGAGCTTTTTAGAGAAGAAGGCACATTGATGAAGTTTTGGTGATGTCCCCTGCTGCGGACACAGGATCACTCCAACTCCTGTCGTAGAGGCATCAGCCACACAGGGTTTCTTGGGGTCTGGATGAATTAGGAGCGGTGCGCTGGGAAATGCTTCTTTTAGTCGTTGCATGGCTTGGGCAGCAGCTAGAGTCCAGGACAGAGACTTGCGCCTGACTTTGAGGACATTGGTAAGTGGATGAGTAATGGAACTGAAGTTATGGATGAAGCGTCCATAGAAGTTGGCAAAACCAAGGAAACATTGTGAGCAGGCCACTTGCGGACTTCAGCAACCTTCCCCTTGTCCATCGGAATGCCATCTTTACTGATGTGGAAACCCAGGAAGTGAGGTTGTGAAGGTGTGCTGGATCAAGCAGACATGCAAAACGTGCAGTGTTACGGTACTCCAGAAATCTGGTTGTGATCTCTAGATTACCCAACGGTTCTTTTGTTCAGTAGGTTCTGGTTATAGATAGAGATGCTGCTAATGTCAAACTAATTCTGCTAAATCAAATGAAGAAAAGGTAATCACTAATTTCTGGACACATCTCTGGCGACAATGTTTTTCCATAAGTCTCGACCCCTTTACTAGTATGTCTTACTTGTACATATTCAAACTCTACACATGATTGGCATTAGGGAGTTTTTATTCAGATGGTATATATTAAGCTCAACACGGTGTGCCCAATTTACTCACTGCATCTGCAACAGTAGTTTTCCCTCGAAAATGCAAGTGAAATCCTCACGCTGTTGAGCCCTGAAAATGACTTTTTTTTCAGCTGGCAGGACTCTCAAGTATTTCAGTAGTGTATGCAGCACATTGAGGAAAGAAAAGCAAAGCAAAGCAAATAAAAACAACCCCCATTGTCTTTATTTAATTAGACATTTTACAGTAGTCACTCTTACAGTAGCTGCCTTGTTTTTCTTTTTCCCCATTGTTTCAAATATTCTATCACATGGATCAATGCAAAGGAAGAAATATATATATTTATATATGAACACCCAAAACAGGAAATTTTGGCAAGATATTACAATAACATGATTTCAGCCCTGTGCATTCAACAGGGTGAATGTTTGGTTCATACATGGCAATTCAGTTTCGTGGGCTATGAATCTGCAAAAAAACATGGTCGGATGAAAGATGAACAGAGTTGAAAACCTATTCCAAGTTCTTGAACTTGAATTCTTCGTGCCGATTCCAGAAAACCTGCAACCTGATGATCAACAACTCGGTGTTTGATATGCAACTATAAACTGTGCACAGGTATTTCCCAATGTGCAAGAACGTCTTTTAAATGCAAACCGCACTGAACATGAAATCTAAAAACAACAACATCAAAAAAAAAACACTGCAACTACATTGTCGAGGTCACTTTTAAGGGATGCTGTTTGTCTACTGCCATCAAACGCTTTAAACTGCCATGTATTGGACCCAATACTGAATATAAGTGTGCAAGGAATACAGTCAGTGAAAGGTGTCAACATGCATGGTATTCTGGAAGGAAGCAGCTGCAGAGCTCAGCGAAAGATTGGAGAAAAGTTGTTTTGGAGGGTCCCTGGTAAGAGCCCGTTCAATAGTTCAACAGAGAAGATGGAAGTGATGACGGCGACAACAGTCCAGAACACGAGTCACGACTGTTCAAGACCCTTCCTGCTCAAAGCTGCTTGTTCAGAGAACCATTAACCAAAACCAGGTGAGAAGCGGCTCAGACGCAAGAATGCCGAATGCAGAATGTGTGTGGTTAGTCTTTTGAGTGATAACACTGAATACGGACGGAAACACCAATCATTTCATTCTCTAATACGTTTTCAAACTAATTGGCCACAGATCATTTTTCCTCACCGTTCCCTAACAGAGAGACTTTTCTCCATTGCTAATGGGAGGCATATTTGGGTTCGGACCGTGCCGGGTTTAAAGGTGAGCAGCTGTAATGTCCTGACTGAACGACAGCAAACCAATCCAAGCCATATGTGATCAGCACTAGCTGAACCTCACGCAGTTCAATCCTCACGTTCAGTGAAAACCTTCCCAGACTTGCAGGAATCTACAGCAGCATTATATAAGACAGAGCTGAGCGCAGCGTGACAGCACAGGTACAGACAGCAGCTCAGAGCAGCTACTCAAGCCTAGCGAAGTCTGCGAGGCTTCCAGAAGCGTGCCGTTGGTGCTGAGATCCGTGTCCTTCAGGACGAGAGCAGAAATGAAGAGGGGAAGGACTGAGGACGGTCAGTGTATGGCACAAGGTCAAGGCCGTGAGCGAGTGAAGAGAAGGGAACACCGAGCACATCATCAGAGGCCATCGCCCAACCCTTAACAATGTTCACACACACACACACACACACACACTGATCCATCACGACGAGTGAGTCTCAAGAAACACGTAAAACACGTCTGGGACAAGTCACCCCAAAACCAAAGCCAAGCCTGATTTTCGGACGAATTAAGCACTTTTCCTCCTGATTCTGAACCTCATGACAATCACCTCTGACAACAGCGAGGACTCAAATCTGATGTCAAATGTTGTTGAAGATTACTGTTTTTATAGTCATAAGGACTTGGGGGTTAAATGTGTCTACCGGGAATGAAATCATGTCATAATGCAGAAAAAGTCTTAATGGTCCCAAAGTGGGCTTTATTTTATTTATGCTAAAAAAGACTAAACAACTCAAATCTGTTTTGATTCGGGGGTGAACCCTTCTCCTGACTAGCATGGCTGTGTTTGAGATGACCTCCCCACAGTAGCATACATTCGGCATCGTCTTGCACTCAGTGTTCAGTGCTGGGGTCAGGAGGGGTCATTTACAGCAAACTACTAATCTGTACACACACTCATTACTGGTACGGGATATCTATGTGGAATGGATGTCTCCATTCACAAATGGTTGATCCGGAAAACAAAACAGAACAGAACAGAACAAAAAACAGCCAAGTGTCTGTGATTTAGAAATGCTGTTTCCTCTGATGCTGTGCTGCGAGTCTCTTGCGGTAGTGTTGTTGTGGGCAGGAGTCTAGCTGTTCTTGAGCAGGAGTCTGTCTTCGGCCGAGGGGAAGCAGTGCAGCTGGCAGACGTCTGGAGCGAGCAGGCCGCAGGAGCGCAGGTCCACACTCTGCAGCGAGGCACAGCGGCGCAGCAGCGGCAGACACTGCTCCGTCACCTTCACGCAGCCTGAAACACAGCGCCACATTTCACACAAACTAGTTCAGCTCAGGCCACCTTCCTCCTGAGCTCTGGCCTGACTCCTCACCTTCCCAGTCAAACTAGTGTACTTTTCTCACTGATAATGTAGCATTAAACCTATGAAAGAGCACATGGCTCCGGAGTGCCGACACGAGTTTTTTGGCAGTGCGTCACATGCGGACGATGACATGAAGCAGCCCGAGGTGGACTTCATTAATAACAGCTGGAAGTTCATATGCTGCTTCACAGTGAAGTCTCAGAATAATCGGGGCACTCATTCGCCGCCTTTGGGGAGTATTTTAACTCTCCCGACAGTCTTTGCTATACAATGCAAACGCATCTTTTCAGGTTTGACAGTGATCAAAACTAGTCATTTCTAGAGAACTGCTTAAGCTTATGGCTGTTGTTCAATTCAATTCAATTCAAGTTTATTTGTATAGTGCTTTTTACGATACAAATCGTTGCAAAGCAATATTTAGTAGTAGCTTATTAGTGGTGACTGTCAGTTAATGTACATATGGCAGAAATGTACGGAAAATCAATTAAAGACGTAATGAAACAGATGATGAACACTATTAACAGCAATTATTATATGATGCAATCAAACTTATAGCAAAATGTGGTAGTTCTGTATGCTGTTGTGGCCACCAGCGGCAGCACATCTAGAGCCCGAGCTCATTCTCATTTTTGGCAGTTCTTGTTTGATTAATTCAGTAGTTCTGTTGACTTCACATTAGCATGGGCTCCTATGGAGACTGTAAGAGGACAAGAGTTCAACTGAGCTTAAAGTCAGTCCCGGTGAAAGATGTTACTTGAACAGACCAGGCTAGTAAGTGAACTTATTTCAAAAGTCTCATGTTAATATGTACAATGTTCAAGTCCTGCGTCTATTTTTTGAAAACTGTGTATTTTAAGGCTTATCCCACAGAAATGACTTGTCCCATAAACCAGTGCTTCTCATCAGACGCACCCATTTTGGGTTTTGCAGTCTGCACTAGTGAGCCGATGCAAAAATCTCCAAGTTTTGCATGTTACCATGTTATTACCATGCTACTACTCCATTTACCACTGTTTTTCTTAAAACAAAAAAAAAAACTACACTTTCTAAATATATTTGAATATACCATTGCTAGTATTAACTCCATTGAAATGAATGGATTTAATTACATTACTTTTAACTCATGACTGCTGTTAATTTATGAAACCTACATATTCTTTTTCCAACAAAACAACATCAAAACATCAACATTACTCTGGAAGTCTAAAACTAAAAATATTAATTTTACTTGTGTCAACTTTCACTCAAGATGGAAGGGAAATATAATCTGTGTTTCTTGTTGCAATGGTTGATCAGTAGGTGGCAGCAGAGTCACATGTGCTCTAACCAGTGCTTGTTCATGCAGTTTATCATTTTTCTGTGCGCAGTGTGTTTGTGTGTGCACATTCATGTCAGTTATCAAAATGTAGTCCCACAACTGGTGAGAAATGTGTCAAATATATGTAACCTCTGTGCCGTGAGTATTTCTGAGACACATCTAACCGATAGATAAATCAAATGTCTGCAGAACATCATGTGTAAAGCCTTCAATCGATGGCACTACTGAAAGGCAGTTGTTAATGAAGCACGCTAATGAGCGTTGCTGCTGCAGCGTGAGTGTGTACCTGCCAGGCTGACGTGCGTGAGGCTCTCTCGCAGCGGGGATATGGCAGAGGTCAGCGTGTGGATGCTCTGGTCTGTGATGTGGCAGCACTGACCGAGGTCCAGCTTGCTCAGGTGAGGAAGATAGCGCACTAGCAGGCGCGACACGGCGTCAGTCACCTCCAGGCCCGCCAGACGCAGCTCCGTCACGTTCTGGAAACGCCCGCCGCGGTTCTCTCCGTGAGCTGCAGTGAAGAACAGCGGGTTATGCTGAGCATCTAAATCATACGTCTTTAACACATTCAGTACTCTCAATACTGCCCTGACTTGAGTCTACATGCACAATGACTTTTTTCATTTTCCCATTGCAGTGTTTCAACGTGTAGCTTTTGAGCTCTGATAAAAGATATGCAACTATGAAGGAAGCAGCCAACATAACCGATATGAAGACTGGACAGACAGACAGACAGGCCCTTTCACTCATTTCCCACTTTCAAACAGAAAATACTCTGGTTACACTTTATTTCAGGGTGTCTATGTTACAGTATTATTATATTAATGAAGCACCCCTGAGGGGTTTTATAATTCTGCGATAACAACTGACTGGATGTACATTACCCTGCTTATTACACAGCTACGACCAAACACTGGAAGTCTCTACTGCGAAAGGATGCAAACACCAGAACTCAATGACCTTTAAAAGGGACCCCAAAAACACAAGAAATTAAAGGAAGAAAGTTGTGGAATACTTGTAACATTGACCAAACTAAAACTACTGACTAAACATGAAAACCCATTGTCGCCTGAACGTCAAAACAGTTCAGTTTTAATGCTAACACCCACAAAAATTATGCGCAATACCATCTTCAAAACTGTGTACTGCACCATCTGCTGAGACAGGTGAGAAGTGCTGGAGGACTCTGGTCATGCTGGAAGCTGAGGTGCTTTTAATGAGATGAACTACAACACAGTCATCTCTTCACTGGTCCATCAACTAATAAATTAGTCAAGTATCCAGGTCCAGCCCTAGTCCATTTAAATCCAAACTACGCTCACACAACCAGGGTGCTTCCTCACTTTGCCCTGACACACTCAAGTTAATAAACATGCACGTCTTCATCTGTGGCCGTCATGAAAACTATTGATGAATTCCTTCAGTCAACTCATGCATGATAAAGTGGTGTTCATTTATGAAATTTTTACAAGTAATCTTTCTGTGTGTGTCTGTGTGAGAGTGTGTGTGTGTGTGTGAGAGCGTGTGTGTGTGAGAGAGTGTGAGTGAGTGTGTGTGTGTGTGTGTGTGTCTGTGTGAGAGAGTGTGAGTCTGTGTGAGAGTGTGTGTGTGTGTGTGTGTGTGTGTGAGAGAGAGAGTGTGCGTGTGAGAGTGTGTGTGTGTGTGTGTGTGTGTGTGAGAGACCTGAGCGTGTGTCGTTGCTCGGCGGTGCCAGCAGCTCCCTCAGATGCGAGTCTTTCAGATCCTCCACCCAGCTGAGGTCCAGCAGCCGCAGACAGGGACACACCGACTGACAGAGCGCTGAGACCGAGGACCACGAGCAGCCCGCCACGTTCAGCTCCAGCAGCCCTGAGGAGCACAGAGCACCGGTTGACACCAGATCATCACTGACCACACAATCAGTTCATGCATTCCCTGGGAATCAAACCCTGGCCTTGGCATTGCTAGAGCCCTGCGCTACTGTAGGAGCTACAGGAATGCTCATTTGATCTAAATATGCGTATCAAATTACACATTTAAAATAATTCTGTCTCCTTCATCGCTTCGGTCAGACCAGCTGGAGTCTGGGATTTCTCTCACAACAACTCTTCCCTTTTTCACTCATCTGCCCAGAGGATTTCTCCTGGGACTGTTGTCAGAGCTGTATGTAGATCAGTGCTCTTGAAGACTTCTCCTCTTTCTCTGGGACTGTTCTTACAGTACTGACGGCAGGCTCAGACACACTTACGACGCTTCACATTAACACTCTGGATCAAGAGCAGGACCTACCTTGCAGACGGTTAATGAGCCACATGAGCTGTTTCTTGGAGATGTTGGTGTAGCCCAGGTTGAGACACACAGGCTGTCGACGGATTATACTGCTCAGCATTGGAGGAGTTATGGAGCGCTGGCGGCTCAGATCGATCTGAGTCCATAACCTCTTATCACAGCACCTGCACACAAACACACGACACGCTTCAGACGTCTGACACAGAGGTGCACCGTATCTATCAGTCAATAACTGCAAAAAACACCATCTTACTATTATAAAAAAAGCCTTATTTTGTGCTGATAATGGAATTTCCACTGGTATTTTCAGGGATAAATATTTGTGCTGTGTTTAAAGAGAGCTGCTGTAATGTCATGGGGCTTTCTGACACCTTGCCTTGCCGCAATGTTTCCCAAGATTCACAACTGTCATCATACGCTATCATAGCAACTTTCTGACCAGCCGTCCACAGACGGTTAGGTTAGGCCCCTATTCCTCCTCCACTTTAACACTCAGCACAGGTGTCCCACAAGGCTGCGTGCTGAGTCCACTTCTCTACGCCCTTTATACTCATGATGCCATTTTTGAAGTCAGCTGGACCAGTTTCGTGTTTTGTTGAATTACAGTGCCACCAGTGCCATTTTTGCAGTTTAGTGTTAATAAATGCTCTTTCTGGACTGAAGAGGAAGGCTGGATTTAGAGAACGTCCTCATAGTACATCTAATGTGATCAATAAGTGACCTCTTTCAAATTTACCAGAGTATATACTTTGCATTATTAAGCAGTGTAAGTGTGAGAGTGACGTAGCTGTGATTGTGAGGGGTGTGATGTCTCACCAGCGGCTCCAGGTGCGGCACACACGCATGCAGACACACAGCTGCGGCTGACTGAGGTGCTGGAAGACGTGGAGCCAGACGTCCCGGGGCAGCACGTGTGAGGCTCCGCTGTCCAGCGGCAGGCAGTGTGGCTCGGGGCAGGCCGGCGGGGGTCGCACCCGGTGTCGCTCCATCTGCAGCGGCCGCGGCGGCGAGGGCACGGCCACAGCACTCCTCTTCACCAGCTGCGAGCGATGCGGAGCCAGAGACACGCTCCCCGGGTTAGAGGTGCCACTGTTGCCATTCGCAGTCCCAGAGCCGGCTGCTGCTGTACCTGTGCTCTTGCTTGAGGGAATGCTCTGGCCCTGCCGGCTTCCTCCTCGCATTCTGCTACCACGAGCAGTCTTTACAGCAGCGTGCCGGTGATTGGTGACAGTACTGCTGCTGGAGTTCTCCTTCTCCTGCAGCTCTCTGCCAGCCACTCGCATGCGGCCGTTGCGAGTGTCCTGGCCGTTAGTGCGCTTGGATGAGGACAGGCCTGCTAAGTGTCCGTGTCCGAAGGGCGGCAGCTGTGTAGCGGACAGCGGTGAGGACGGGTCCGCGGCACTGACCCTGTGACCCCGATCCCCTGCTCTGTCCTCATCGTCATCTGCTTCAGCGTCCACCACCGCTCTACGCACCCGGGCATTCACCTCTCCTCTGTCTGCTGCCGCGTTCTCGCCGTCAGAATCCTCACTGGCACTGAAGCCCAGCTCGGCCAGACGCCGGTTCCGCTCTCGCATGCTGCCACTGTACACAGCAGCTGGAGAGGGAGGTTCTGAGGCGGCGGCAGGAGACGGAGAGTCCGAGTCTGACTCCGAGCCGCTTTCGGAGCTGGAGGAGGACGAGGAGCTGGAGTCGCGCACTCGCTCCAGGAGCTGACACATGCGTTTGAAGCGCTCCAGCTTCTCACGGTGATGCGAGCGCTGGTCCTGGCTCGGGGTCGAGGGCTGCACCGTGCCGGAGCCTCCAGCAGAGCCGTGTCCACCACCCAGAGAAGAGTTCGGCCCGTTCGCTTCAGAAGAATCCGAGGAGTTGGGTTTGGCTTTCTGCTGAAGATGTTCAAGACAGAAGATTACACTAGTGAAAGAAACTCACAAGTCTGCATTTCACGTCAACAGTAAGACTCAAGATCTCAAGAGTCGTACCTTCTTCAGGTGTTTATCACGGGCAGCTTTGATCTGTTGGGGACAAACAGAAAGACACGCGTGTTCAATGACAGTAGTGATCATGCATGGTTATGAGTGACGTGACTTCCTGCTGAACTCAGTACCAACTCTACAAAACTGTGGACGAACACACACACATGCACGCACATAAAAAACCAGACTCGGGTGTTTTTCAGTGAATTGTTTAGCAAGACGTACCACTGACACTGCCAACAAACATTACACCAGCATCACATAACAGGTGCCGTCACATTTCTGGTGGCAGAGAAATTCCTCTGCATTTACGTTTAGTGAACTCTGACACATGAGTCTGCAGTGTTGACATTTAAAGAGCTCCTATTATGAGAGTTCACTTTTTTAGTTTTTTGGTTAGTGTGTAATGTTGCTGTTTGAGAATGAAAAAAAATCTGCTCTAAAGGGAGATATTCTCTTTTCAAGAACTACAGCCAATGGTCCATTCGGACTGCAGCACGCTTCTTCTGGATATTGTGAAGTCTCAATGTCACTCATTAAATCATTCCCGCTCACAGGCAAGGCCTGGCTGGATCATGCTCCACAATGCATTGGGCCAGCCAACCAATCAGAGCACATTTCGTATTTCAGCAGGAGAAACAGGAACTAAACAGGGCGTTCAAGACAGACTGGGAAGAGAGGTGCTGCAATAACGTAAAATATGAAAAAAATAATGCATTTTTGGAACAATCACGCATGAAAACCTATTCTAGTCCAGCCCAGAAAACAAATCAAGACTTTGCATAAGGGCATAACAGGACCCCTCTAAAAGATCGGACAACAACTTTAAACAATGTAATGAAAAGGAAAGTTGATATGACACGGTGGTAAACATGCTTCTGTCCCAACTCTGTTAGAGTGTGTTGCAGCCCTCAGAATCAAAATGTGTTTATATTTACAAAATAACATTAAGTTGGCCAGTGAACACGTTGGATTTTTTTCTTTGTACTTCAGTCAATTAAATAAAGGTTAAAGAGAATGAACAAATCACAGATTCTTGACTTTATAGCCTTTCACCAAACATCCCAACTCTTCTGGAACCGGGGTTGTAATTAATTACTAGGGATGTGCATCACAACTAATTTCATTAACATTAAAACAGAACATTTCGTAACTGTCTAGTCTAACAAACCCTCAAAAGACGTCTGTATATACGATCAAATAGCCTATTTAATCTAAGACACAAAGAGTCCAGTTCCATACTGAAACCCACAGAAAAATAGCTCATATTATATGTACCAGCGATATGCTTGCCCTATTATGATCCATGTACATTTAAACTCAAGCATTCACTAAGCCATTATTCCCAACAGGACAGATTTATTCAAATGAACCCAATCAATAGGCCAATAAACTCAGCAGCTTATCATAAACAGAACAGCTGAAATAAATGCTGGTCAACACAAGTCAGCACATGTCAAGCTGTACTGGCATCCGCTTGTGTGTGCGGGTTTGAACACGCTTCATGTGCATGAAAAACATCTAAACACATGACAGATGGCCAAATCAGGAGAAAAGCTTGAGGTTTAGCATGTTATTTAAAGGTATTCTATTCGTTAGGACACTGATATAACAACTGTTGTTGTCAAGTAAGTTTAATTCATCGTGTTTCCCCTTTAAACCAGTTTATACTAACCATTAATAACCATTAGTGTCCCTCATAACCAGCAGTACATGAGCAAGCTTATGACATATGTGACCCTGGACCACAAAAGCAGTGTTAAGTCGCTGGGGTACCGGAGACCTGATTATAGCACTTAAAACCTGGAAAAGTCAGATTTTCATGATATGTCACCTTTAAAGTAAAAAAAAAAAGTTCAAATATTCCCTCGCCTTGCTCATCTTCACAGTGGACATTCCTCTGAACCCACCACTCCAGATAGATAGATAGATATAGATAGATAGATATATATAATCTTTAAATGTAACGTTAACATGACCTTAATTTGAACGTAGCCTTTGCAAAAAATGTAAAACAAAACAGAAATAAATAAATGAGTAGTCTTTCCGGTGTGGACTAGCAGGCGCAGTGTTGTTTAGTTGAGTAGTCTGGCCCACCCCTAACAACCACTATAGTTAACTCTGTCTGTTTGATCTGGTTGTGTCTCCCGTCACACTGAAGCTGAATCTGGAGCCAGCAGGAAAGAGAACACCTGCTCTGTTGCACTCACCTTCTTTCTGGAGCCGCTCTCCTGGGGAAGCTCCTTGTCCTTCTTGCGTCTGGCTCCGTCTTCCAGAGACAGGCTCTTCTTCTTACTGGGAGGCGGCTCATCCGTCAGCTTCCAGCGACTCACCTCCCCATTGTCCATGCGCCTCTTCCCCAAACCATCTCCTTGATCCTGAACATCAGACCTGCATTAGTGTGATGTTTATTACAGTGACGACCACACACAGGACTGCTTCCAGAGCTGAGTCAGGGTCAGGGAGGGCATTTCTAAAGCTGTGGTGAGTACAGGCAGTGACATCATCACGCACACGCAGAGCTTACACCTCAAACCGTAGCATCGAGTCTACACGCTCCTGGTTTAGATCGCTAGAATTACTATTAATACAAATATGGCTTATACGACAACATGTCTCAAGTGGTGAATCAATCCTTGTGAGAGGTGAAAGTGCACTGGCTGCTGCACTGATGTGTGTGAACCGAGCATCTGTGCCTTCACTGCGTGACTGACACAGAATCTCTACTTCTGAACGATACTGAAAGTCTAGCCGTGTCAGCTGTGATGTACGGCGCTCTCGTGCCTACAGCATCTACAGTTCAGACCTCGACAGAAGCTCTTCTCCTGATGACACTGCTTCCTGTCTCTCTCCTTCACTCTACTAATACACCACATGTTACGTGTGCTTTTCCATGTGTTCCCTTTACAGTTAAGTAAGGATGCAACCAGCTGGAAACCGTACCGCTATGGTGTACTTCCATACATTAATAAAGGCACTTCTGCTGGAAAGATGGCATCCCATGCAAAACATGACTGACTGCGTTGTGCTTTCCTACACATTCTTACTGATGCGTAAAACGTTTGATTAAAACTCAAATTTAGAACAAGAAAACATTATCTCGGTCACAAAACTGAATTTGCAGCAATAAAGTGGAATCCAAAGCAGAAAACCAAACGTTTAAACAAGGATGCAGCCAGTCAATGAATGGAGGACTTTCAAACACCGACACTATGTTAAGATTAAGAACTAGTTTGAGCAACTAGCAGTTAGACAAGAGACTTTTCAGACTCGCTACCATTTTGTAACTGACTTTATAAAGTTATGAGCAGTCTTGAAGAAAACAAATGAGGTGACTAACTGTTCTGGCCCACTCTGAACGGGGCAGTGCAGTATCTGTGTGCAGTCTTACCTTACTGGTCTTTCCCTCCTTGTGGCACTTTGGACATTCCCAGCAGTTTGGGATCTCATCATTAATAATGCCTTCAGACTTGCCCATCTGAGGAGAGAGCTCAGCGTGTTATCAGCAGCCGTTAGGAGTTCAGACGCGCTCGCTTTGATCATGTTTAACTCACAAACCTTGAGGCAGCTGGGGTGGATGATCTCGTTGCAGATGGTGCACTCCATGAGCGAGAGGCTGAACTTCTCCTCCTCCGACTCCACCGTGTCCTCCTTCCCTGCTTCACCGCATGCGAAGCACACGGCTGTGTGCGGCAACACCGGCTGAGGAGAGCAGCAGAGTCAGTGAAGCCAGCGCGAGATGCTCTGATCCTAACCGTTACGATGCACTGATCACAGCTGGAGCACAAAACTACTGCGTCCCCCCATCAGCCGCATTCAGAGGTGCTACAATCACCCAGGTCCACCCTGCATTCAGTGCAAATACTCACATGCTCGAATGCTTTCAAACCACAGCAAATACGAACACAAATCTACATACTGAAGGGAACATGTCTGAAATCTCTGAAAGTGTGCAGTGGATGTTAAGATGTCTTCTGCTTGAGTATGAGCATGTGACACAGGTTTGCTTGACTTACTGCAGTGCACTGCCGCAGCAGACAGGACTGCTTCATCCGGCCCGGTCCACCGAACTTCTTCATGTCCTTGCAGAAGTGGCACTCGCCGCACTCGGTCCTCATACACGCCTGACAGCGTCGGCACCGTGTCCGCCGCCGCCGCGCCCCCCCCAGCACCTTACTGCCAGACATCCCCTCTGCATTCAACTGCAGAACAAGCACAAAACACAAGGTGTTCAACTCAGTCCCACACGTCTGCAGAACATGCTCGGCTCTTTTTATCGTCTATAATATCTGACTGACTGGAGTTGCTCTTTTATAAACACAAAAAGCTAACTAAACACTACTAAACAAATGAATGCATACATACATACATACATATACATATATACATATATATATATATATATATGTATATACATTTAAGGCTGTCAAATTAATTAATTGCATCCAAAATAAAAGTTTGTGTTTACATAATATACGTGTGTGTCCTGTGTATGTTTATACACATACATACATGTATATAATTAAGAATCATGAGGTCAAAGGAACTGCCTGAAGAGCTCAGAGACAGAATTGTGGCAAGGCACA